CCAGGCCTCACGCAGTCTCGGAGTGGCCGAGCTTCAAGTAGGGCCTTGGCAGGTGTAATCAGTGACAGGTCTGATGGGAAGCCACCTCAACTGGGGGTAAACCTAAGCCCAACGGTGGGCGTTCCTGCAGGAGGAGAGAACAGGGAGACACAGGGAGAAGGGGCCCTGGGAAGGTGAGGACGGACCCCAAAGCCAGGCCGATGCAGGGCAGAGGACACAGAGGGCTGGGACCAGAGAGGTGGCAGGAGGCAGGGAAGTTTCTTTCCAGGAGGCTTCACAGGGAGCCTGGCCTTCCTGGACTTCAGACCTCCTGCCTCCAGCATGGTGAGGGATACATTTCTGTTGCTGAGAGCCACCCGGTCTGCGGCACTTTGTCACAAGGGTCTTAGGAGCTGATAGAGCAGCTGAGGCATCGGCGTCGGCCTCCGAGGCAGACAGCAGCGCCCTGGAGGGAGGGAGGAGCAGAAAGTGACCCGCACTGCCTTCTCCTGAGTGAGCGAGGCTACGCAGTCGCTTCCTGTACACTGGTTACGAGCAACAGGTACTCGCTCTGGCCAACTCACAGAGAAGGGAGGAGAAGGGAGTGCATGGAATTTGGGAGAATAAGAGGTGAGCACTGAAAATGGGCAGAGATGGGGTGTTCTAGGCTCAGAGGCAGGGGCTGTGAGACGTGGTCCTGGGCCAGAAACTTAGGTCAGGACACAGGGACCGACAATAGTAAAATAGTAATAGTAATAATGATCTTGCAATCTTTGTAAGAGTTGGGGACCATGTTTCCCAATGTCAGAGTGTATTACTAATCTCTAATAAATAATCAGTGCAGTAATACAGTGCGAGCGAACAAACTGAGGGTGCAGGTATAAATTCTCACACTGATGGTCAATAATGTTCCACGAGAGTGCCCAAACAATCCACTAGGGGTAGAACAGCCTTTCTGACACATGGTAAGGACAGTGGATCGCCACTTGCAAAAGAATGAATCTGGACCCCTACCTCACACCATATTCTACAAAAATTACCACGAGATGAAATGAAGTCACTAAGTGAAGAGCTGAAACTGTAACAGTCACAGAATAAAACATGGAAGTGAATCTTCATGACCTCAGAGAAGGCTATGGTTTCTTAGATATGACACCAAAGACATGAGGGCTAAAGAAAAGATAGGTATATTAACATCCATCAAAATTTAAAAATAGTCATGCCTCTAAAACAGCAAGGGAAAAGTCAACCCACAGGACAGAACGAGGTATTTGTAAACTGCGTATCCGTTGAGGAACTTGCCTGTAAGATGCATAAAGCATCCTTATGACTCACCGATCAAAAGAAAAACACAACTTTTGAAAGTGGCAGAGGGATTTGAATAGGTACTTCTCCATAGAAGAGATAGAAAAGGGCGACACGAGTGTGAAAGGGTTCACAACGTTGCTGGTCACTAAGAAACGCACGTCTGGGGCCAGCGCGTGGTGCAAGGGTTAAGGTGCGGGCTCCCGCGTGGCTGTGATTTGAGTCCTGGGTCTGGCAGCTGGAAACACATGCCGGGTGTGTGTGCCCACAAACTCAGGAGGAGAATGGAGAAGGGATTGCAGCGTGGCCATTCCCCCTAGGGGTGATGTCTCGCTTTCTGTCTCTCTGTCTCTGTGCTGCCAGTGTGCGCATACACCCTATAGCCAAAAATCTCACTCAGCAAAAAGAAAAAGAAAATTGCAGCAGACCACAGCAGCGCTGCTCCACGTCCTCCAGGATGACCACAGGGGAAAGGCAGGCGGCCACGAGTCTCGGAGCGTAGAGACGAGTCCCTGGACTGAGTGTGAGACGGCGCGGCTACCTCCGTCCTCGGAAACCTGAGCACCCCACGGGGCCCAGCAACTGATGCCTAAGTGTGTGCCCGAGAGGTGAAACCACATGGCCACTTACGAGCCTGTACCCAGGGCTGGCTGGCCTGGCAGCCTGGTGGTTAAGATCCCACATGGTAGACCATGCGGTTTGAATCCTGGCTTTGGCAGCTTTAAATACACAGCAATGATGTGTGTGCACATCCAGAAACCCCTCCATGGAGAGACGGAGCAGAGGGGTTGCGGCATGGCCGTGCCTGTGGGGTGTTGCTTTCTCCCACTCCCCTAGCTGTCTCCTCGTCCGGCGAGCACATGTGCCCCCTGACAAATAAAAACCAAAGCAAAAAAACTCGTATCTGAGTGTTCGTAGTAGCCCGACGTAGAAACAAGCCCCATGTTTGTCGACAGAGGGATAGAGGGAATGCGGGCTGCCCATGAAACGGGTCAGTATTCAGCGGCACGGACTGGCACATAGGCAGCAGTGTGGATGTGGTTTCCAAACGCCTGGCACGAGGCCACACGACGACTGCGAAGTGTCTCAACTGGCAAATCCGCAGCCAGTCACTGGGGAACGCCCAGCCCAGGAGAGCGGGGCGAACGGGAAGCGTGCCCGTGAACGTGCCTTCTTCGTATGGGGTGACGATATCCCCGAGCCAGCCCCTGGGGAGGGCCACACGGCTGTGTGGGTGGCCTGGGAGCCACTGCACCTCATGAACGTCACAAGGGCGGCTCTTACGGGATGGGAGTTACAGGTCAATAAATCCATTTTAAAAATTCCAGCCTCCCGAAAATAAGTGGTTTTCTTATGGTCTTGCCAATATTTTTGTGAAAAAAACCAAACCAAACCAAACAACCCCATATATTTAAATAAAATCATTAGAGGTCTTGGAATGCCCCATGAGAATCAGCTCGCATCCCTGTCCCTTTCCTACGTGACTGGCCTTCTCCCGAGCTGGGCTGCTGTGTTTACCTTCCCGAGGGCTGTCCTCGGCGAGGCCAGCAGGCTGTGCCTCTGTTCCGCGGTAGGGTGACACGCGGACGTGCCGTATTTATAAAAACAACGACGACTTTTTAAATGATTAAGACCGCCGCACTGGTCTTTGATTCTTCTCTTCTTCGAAATAGCCTCAGTGTCTTAACTTCTTCTTAATCACCTCTCAGCAGTGAAATAAGGTATTTTTTGTTTGTAAACATCAAAGGCTCTTTTTGAAAAATTTTCTGCCTCTCACATACTGTAAATCTTCTTTAATACCTCTGGTTTAGAATTAACCAAACGTGTAATATGATCTATAACATCCCATCATATAATAAGGGTTTGATCTCCGGGGCTCTGTAGGAAGGGGCAGAATATTTGTCACCAAAGTCAGCCATTTATCAAAAGAATATAAATTAAAAACCAAAAGTCTGCCTGCTCCAGAAATGCATGACTCATTTATGAGCGGAAAGAAATCTCCATGATAGGATTTTTTTCTTCAAGGCTAGAATATTTAAAGCTGCATTTCACAATGGAGTTTAGTTTACAAGGGTATTTAAAATGTGAAAATATCTGTGGGTGGTTTTAGGCTAAAAAAAATGTTGTCTAGTTCTAAAACCTTGACATTGGGTTGTATTTGGCAGTTGAATTTCCTGGCTGTGTAACACAGAATGCCTGCCGTGGAAGTCCAGACTTCACGATTCGAAACCCTGTGCCTGAAGCAGGCTGCGCGGGCCCCCTGAAGCAGGCTTCGCGGCCCCCTCCTGCGCGGCCCCTCCTGCGCGGCCCCTCCTGCGCGGCCCCTCCTGCGCGGCCCCTCCTGCGCGGGCCCCTCCTGCGCGGCCCCTCCTGCCCGGGACCACCTCTCTGGGCGTCCTGCAGCTATCTCCAGTCCGGGCTTCTTTTCTGCAGCGCACGTGCGCTCCTCTCTCCCTCCTCCAGAGGCGCTGTCCCAGCTGGACTCTGCCCCGGAGCAGGTCACAGGAAGTCCAATCTAACAGTCCCCTTAACACCCATCCGAAAGGTTACTCCCAGGGAGACACGGGGGTGAGGGACTCGGCGATAGTGCTCTGTCCACCTTAAAGCCGCTTGGTGTGGCTCCCCGTCCGGAGGCATGTGCACTGTTTGACACAATTCACACACGCACGCGGGGAGACGGACAGCTGCCTGCGTGCTGTGGTCTGTCCTCACCGCCCACCGAGCCGTGCGCCTAAGCGGATGTGGCACCCCTTCGTAACAAAGAGGAGTCCCCTGGC